ATGAAATATACTATGCATACACTGTTCGAAAATAGTGTAAGGCGATCTTTCTAGTAAATCTAGAATAGCCTTGAAAAGGCTAATGGGGATGTAAAGGGCTTAACAAATCTAGTCTTGCTTAAATCGTTTAAATTTTTTCCACGACTAAATTATTTTGCTGAACCAATGATTAATTCCATGGAGCCCATGCTAATAGATCATTACCATTTAAATCAATTCCCAAATTTAAGTTCTAAGAAATATATAATTCGTTTCGTTGCACGTTGACATGTTTTTCACCATTTCAACACGGATATGAATTGCTTAAATTCGTGAAACGCCAGTCCGAAAATCGGCAATTAAGCAATTTAAAATTTGAAAGTATACGCAGAGGGTTATTAACAATGAACCATGTTTGCAGATGAACACATTTTCTAAACAGGTGCAATTGAGTTACGATATCTCAGCAAAGAACCGTTCAGGGAATACCCTTACCAATTCTGCTGCAAAGTGAGAGAATACAAGAAAACGGCCACCCTAGATGCCGAATGAAGCAGGTTGATAAAGGGGTTGGAAGAGGGGGCAGGGGAACGGCCAATGCTAATGGGCCAATTTCCACCTCGAATTTCTCCCCCAAAATCCCTCAAAACGACTCATTTCGAACATAAAACAGTTAGAACAAATCCAGTACGATCGAATGGGGACGGAAAATAGCTGGCTGAAATGCGCTAATAAGGCGAAAAAAGCGTCAGAAAATACAAAAGCAATATGGCGGCCATTCGAAACGAAAACGAATGACGCTGCAATGACGAAAAGAGGAGACCGATGAAGAGCGTGCAACGGCGAAGAGCGCAAAATGTGTGCGCCGGTGTGCGTGTGTGAGAGGCCATCGTAAAAGCCTTGTTTGCGTGTGGAATTTAACTGTTTTCTCGCCGTCTGCGAATTGGGGGGCACTTACACACGCACATACAGCCGCACATCTGGGAAAATGGGGAAAATCGTGGCAAGACGACAACAAATACGGGGCTTCTAAAAACTCTGCCAATTCGCCGCGATCTTTTTCTCTCTCTTTCGCTCTCTGCCGCTCTCTGATTCACGTGGGTTTTCATGTTCATATGCTGTGTGTGTGCTGTGTGTGTGCGCCTCATTTTACTGTAGTCTGCAGCTACGTTCTTTTTGTGGAGCTTTGGGGCTGCCGGAAGTTTTCTTTTTATCCACCTATCGCCGATTGCTCTTTGCGCACTTCGCCTATCGCTGCTTCTTCTTTGCAGCGTGGCGTTTTCGTTTTGTCGGCCATTACGTTTTCCAATTGCCTTTGGCGCAGCACACACAACACAAAAACACACAAAGCGTGTGTGTGCGGCTGCCAAAGTGTGTATGTGTGGTTGTGTGTGCATGTAAATGTACAACCGCAAAGAAAAATCGTTTTCTAGGTGGAATTATTCAAGTGGGCGTCGTGCGAAAGCATTTCCCTGGCCCAAAACTAGTTTAAGAATGGCGAGTGATAAAGAATGGTCCAATCTTAGTTAGGATCAAAGGGGAAAGCCAAGAAAGCCGCCAAGGCGGGCAAGCAACTAGGATAATCGATCGCAGTGGCCTTGGTTACTAGTTGGTGATGTCAGTGGCGAGGGAAATGGAAGTCCTGGCCACGCACTTGACCCAGTTCGGGAAAATTGCTTTTCCAGCCCCTCCAGAAGCGGCCGATTGGAAAGCGGGCGGAAGAGCCATGCATAAAGCTATTGATTTTCCCTCATTTCCCCAGCAATTAAGGCCTTTGCCTTTAACCCAGTTCCACGTACACATGCACATACAATACATACATATGTATGCCTGCATCTACATAATCGCAATGGTCCTTGGGCGGGTGGGAAAATGGCAAAACGGGAAAACCCTTGAGAGCGGGGTGTTATGTGGGAGGCGGGCTAAGGACGTCGCCTGACACTTGCAGGATTCAGAACCAGCCTCCTGCCCCCAACCATTTTGGGAAATGGAAGCTGGCGAAGCGTGCAACAACCTACGCCACAGCATCACAAGTTGAGGAAAACCAGGGAAAATCCGTAGGAAACCCGAAAAGGAGTCGTGCAAGTCTGGCGCTCAGATGAAGTGCTCGCTCCTTACCTTTTCCCATTACCACCCCCGAATCACCGACATGTTATTCCCGAGTCCTTTTTCGCTTTTTGCCGACGCAACAAAAGACGCATCAGCAGCAGCAGCACCAGCAGCAACAACAACGGCCAACGTCGCGGCGAAAAGAGCGAACAAACATTTGCCAAAAACAACACGTACACCGGGCGAAAACGCACGTCGACCTGTTCACTGCCCTACAAAAACAGAGCAGCGAAAAATCCCAAGTGGTAATGGCAATTCTTTTGAGACAATGCGTGCAGAGCCATTTTTACAAATTTACGCAATTTTTTTTTTAAGGAAATGCATTTATTGAGCACGCACAAGTGCTTGAGCAGCTTAGTTACTTTAAAGTGCATGCACGGCGATTGTGAGTTGGATATTTGATGTTTATTTAGCAAGTTGAAAACTTTTTCCGCAGGGAGTATATTTATTTGATGATATGCAATGAAACGATTGTTCAACTTGCGTGCGATTTAATATTTTATAAATAAAATTGGGCATATGTTGTGAAAAACATTTAGTTTAGATATGCTCATGAGAATCATTAATTTAAATAGCATTCCCAAGTGAAAAGCGAAAAGGAGGAATTAGTGAGGGCAGAACCATCCGAATGCAACTCCTTATGCACTCATGATGGAGACGAGGGATACATCCTGGCGGCAGGACAACCACCCCTTCCCGCCGCCCACAAGCAGGGTTGCATGCAAACCAAGCCAAATCAGAAAGCAAACCGGGTGCGATAGTGCAGTATATCGAACGGCGAAGAGCCGCGGCGAGTTGCGGCGAATTGAGGTTTTGCGCCGTCGAGCCGAGCGTCGCTCTTTTGCTCTCCATTTTGGCTCGTTATTTCGCTTCGCACCGTGTTTGCGTTCACAACTCTTGTTCGGGTTCTGCATTTTATTTTATTATTATTATTTTTTTTTGTTTGTTGCTATTCGGTGAGTACCTGCGGAAAGGCAAAGCAAGGCAAGGCGACCAACGAAAGGAACAGAAAGGAAAAGAAAACGAAGAGACAGGCAATGCAAAGGGTTTTCCTCGCCCACTCGCTTGTTTGTGTTTTGTGTGCAAAGTGCCTAGTGAAAAGATGTACTCGCCGTGCTGCCAAATGAGAAAAAGGCAGGCGTTCGTTTATTAATGCTCGCGTTCGTATTTTTGCGAAAACCTAGTGAAAAAGAAATTTTCTGTGCTCGCTGCTGCCTGTCTGTGGCAGAGTGTGTGTGAGTGAGTGTGCGTGTGCCTGTGCCTGTGCGCTACTCGTGTCTGTGTGCGCTCTCTTTGGGTGTGCTTGTACGTCACTGCCACCCATTTTTGTGTGCTGTGTGCTATGTGCCCCACTGTTCTGGTTCTTCGTTCCGTTCCGTCCCCTCCCGTCTAGTGTCGCCTCCTAGCCTCCCCTTGCGGTTTTTTTTTTGCTGCAACTCTGCGGAAGAGAGTAGAGTTTCCACGGATTTCCCTTTGCCTTGCGCCCGAAGTGTGATGGCAACTCTTCCAATTCTTTGGCAACTTTTCCGCCTAGTGAAAACTGTGCGGCCAGTTTCCGTTCGCTTCAGCTACTCCGCTTCTTCCGTTCCGTCAATCTGACCGTCTGTCCGTGTTTACAATCGCGGCGTTTTTGCACACTGTGCCGTGCGTCTGTGTGAGTTCTACTTGGTGGTGTATCTGTGTGCATGTACACACATCGATACGACAGCGAAGTCTTCATTTTGTTATTTGCCATTCTCTTTCACTTCCTTTATTCGCCTGTTTTGTTGGACGTCGTCGCTGTGACAGTTATGCTAGTTGTTGGTGTGGGTGTCGTGTCCGTGTAAGTTTTCCGCTTTTCTTCGCCGGTGCGAACTGCAGTCAGAAATCTCGCTCTCACACTAAAATGGCGCATGTCAGAATCGAAATTAAAATCAAAAGCCAAAGCCACTGGGATCGTCAGGCGAAGAAGAAGCGGATGAAGAAGATGAAGAAGGAGCAGCAAGCGGCAGCAGCAGAAGCAGGATACTTAACCAATTTGAGGATTATTCAACATCTCATCGACTCTTCAGCTTCTCTTCTCCGCTTTGCCCTGTTGCTGCTTCTTCCGACTCTGCTCTTCTCTCCTCGCCACTCCACTCCTCTCCTCTCCTATGCTCTCTTCTCGTTTCGCTTTCCTCGCATTCTCGCAGCTCCCAGCTGCTGCCAAAACTTGTTTTCAGCAGCGATAGAAAAGAGGGGCACGGAGCTGGACAGTGTCTGGCAAGGGGAAGAGGGAGGCTTTCTGGCAACCGCAAAAGCATGTTTAATGTTCTAGTCGCGTTTTACTGGACTCGGAATCGGAATTGAGTGAACGGATCGGTTTGGATCGGATCGGATCGGATTGTCCTGGGGATTGAATAAGCTGAAAGGGGCTAAGAGAGCGGCTTGCTTTCGGCCAGGTGAAAGCCAGGGCCATAAAACTTAGTTTACCACATAGATATTCGCTTAGTTTCGTTTCGGCTTAGATTAGGCTGTTATACAGAAGTTATCGCAGAAGTAAAAGTCCTTTCAAAATAATTATCTAAGTGAGTGTAAACTTTAAGTTCGTTATGACTTAGCCATCCAAATGCTTATCAAAGCTTTTAATGCTTATCAGTGATTTTACAGGCTGGTTGGGGTTTCCATTCACTGAACAAGTTTGAATTTAGAAGATAACGAAAATATTTTGATCTTTCAGAATGAATTTTAAGCATACTAAATATAGTTGGAAGGATGCAAAAGAAACACAGAATGGGGTTTCTTTCTGTTTTTGTCTTTAATCTAATGCAGAATTCAACCTACTGGGTTGAGTGGTTTTCGCCTTGCCAATTAGAATATTATTCCCACATGGCGGATTAGTAATACGGCTTAGTAACTCTCATCCTTCCACTCTGCGCGTCCTTGCAGGTAATTCTTCACATCACAGTCAACCAATGGGACCAAATTACTGCGACTCGAACTGGACACAATCAGCATCGGATCGCAGGGAGCAACAGGAGGTGGTGGAGCAGCAGCGCCAGAAGGCGTCGGGGGAGCGGCCATCATAGGAGCAGCAACGTCGGCAGCAGCTGCCCAGAGCCCCTCGAGAATGTCTAGCCGAAAGCTGCCAGGAGGCTCTGGAGGAGCTGACGAAGTCACAGCAGCAGCTGCCCCCCTGGACGATAATGCCAATGCCAGTGTGGAGATTCTGGCCAGCAGCGAGGAGCCAGCAATAGGCGTTGGCGAAGAGATGCCCATCATAAGCAAAACACGCACCTCAACTTCGTCAGTGGAGCCGGCTGAGGAGCCAACATTAGCAACAGAGCTGGAAGGGGAAAAGGACCTGGAATCAAATCCAGTTTCCAAAACACCTAGGTCCACACCTACGCCAACCCTTGCGCCCGTCACGCCCACCGCCAGCGATGGAGTGGCGGCCAAGAGCGTGAGGGTTACACGGCACTCGTCGCCACTGCTCCTGATCAGCTCGCCCACGACAAGTAGACGTGAGGTCGGCGACGGAGCGTTAGATAACGAGGAGCCAACGGGATCGGGTGGCCAAAGAAAGAGCTCCGTGGAGCGATCTTTGGCACCCGTTATACGCGGACGGAAGTCCATCAAGGATCTGAAAGAAGCCAAAGAAGTCAAGTCCGAGGAGCCGCCTGCCGCAGCATCAGATTCAAGAGCTGCAAGTGGAGCGACGCCTGGCCAGGTCAAGGAACAGCATGTCGGGGCTGGCAACGAACTGGAATCCTTGCCAATCACAGACAAGAAAGACCACAAAGACACAAAAGACAAGGAGGATGAGCGGGAAACCGATCAAGATGCAGAGAAGGAAAAATCAGCTGAGACAGAAATAATTGCAGATACAGAAAAATCTGTAGAGAAAGAAAAGTATACAGAGAAGGACAAAACTGCCGATAAAGATGGAGGAAAAGAAAAACATAGTGATGCAAATAAGGATATAGATAAGGAGAAGGAAAAGGCAAAGGAAGCACTTCCTCCAGTGGTGCCAATAGCACCAGTGACACCCACTTGTAATCGTGTCACACGTAAATCGCATGCCCAGGAGCAAGCGATTAACACACGGGTCACGCGCAATCGTCGCCAGTCCTCAACAGTTGGAGCCAATTCCTCTTCTGCGTTCTTGGTAGCTGCATCCTCCTCAGTAGCAGAGCAACCTCCTCCATCTCGCGGCCGACGGAAGAAGCCAGTGATGGTGGCTCCACCCTTGGAGCCTGCGGGTAAACGGAAGCGATCCCAAGATGCTGAAGCCGACCCAGACGTCAACAACAGCGCGAAATACAGCAAGGTGGAAGTGCTAAGGTCCGAGGAAGCTGAGGCACCAGAGGAGGATTCCACTGCCGTGGCCATTAAGCAGGAACCAGTTGATGGCAGCGAGGTCAGTTCTATTTCTCCATCAGTCACGCCCACACCCACACCTACGCCAACGCCAGCCCCGATCTCGGGCAGTCGTCGGGGTCGTGGTCGCCCGCAAAACAGAAACTCGTCATCGCCTGCAGCCACAACGCGGGCCACGCGGCTGAGCAAGGCGGGATCACCGGGTATCCTGACGCCAGTTGCCCAGGAAACGAAACGGCGGCGAGTCGGCTCCACCACACGGAAGACTGCCTCGGCCAATTCTCTGGCACCCAGCTCGCAGGGCGGCGCCGGGGATGAGGACTCCAAGGATAGTATGGCCTCGTCCATGGACGACCTGCTGATGGCCGCAGCAGATATCAAGCAAGAGAAGCTGACGCCCGAATTCGACGATAGTTTGCTGCCAGAAAGCCTGCCCTCTACGTCTGGTGCTTCGAGTGCCAATGGTCATTCCTGCACCGAACCGCTTACTGTGGACACGGAAATAAACGTTAAGCCCGCTGATTCCAAAGTAAAGCCAAAGGACTCACCGGCGGCAACAGTCAAGGAATCTCCATCACAATCCGAAACGCAATCGGCAAAGGTGTCATCAGAAGCTGGGAAGGCTCCATCGCTTAGTCCAGAAATGATAAGCGAAGGCGTGAGTGCGGTCAGTGTTCTAAACTTTTACAAGAAGACTGAGTTCCTGGAAAACAATCTGGGCATTGAAAAGGATCCGGAGCTGGGTGAAATCGTTCAGACGGTTAGTAGCAATGACACGGAAACAGATGTCGAGATGTCTGTTGACGGCGAGTTGAATCCAGCAGCGTCTCCCAAGTCGCAAGATAAAAAGGAAGAGGAGCATGATAAGAATCAGAAATCAGGGTCAAAAGCAGGAAAGAAGGCTTCAGCTCAATTAGAACATAAAGCTGAAGACATATCTGAAATGCTTACCGAAGTTCCTGTTGAAATTTCGACTGAGACTGCAGTTGAAATTATAGAAAATGCAGATGAAGACACTTGTTCAAATAGCTCAATGAAACCAGGTGAGCTCCGACTGGACGAGAGCAACGATGGACCTGAACTGCTTCTGGAAAATGCCCTCATAGTCAATGGTGATGAGACACCAGATCAATCGGAGGAAAAGGAGGACCAGGTGGCGTTCTTCCATTCAGGAGAATACGATGACTTTGAGCACGACATTATGGTGGAGCTGGAGAAGGAGGGTGTGTTAGATGCCAGCGGCAACGCATTGAGTCAGCAAAAGATGGAAATTGAGCATCCCGAGGATGCTTCTCTACTCGAATCCAAAAACGACATGGAGGAAGCCCTAGATGCCGCCGAGGAATCGGTTGACCGTAAGCCTCTTAAGGACCCGTCGGCCGCGGACGAAATGGTGGAGGTGGAGGAGTCCTATATTGACATTAAGCAACAGACGAAAAAGCTGGTAGTTGAACACCTGGCAGAAGAGGCCACGGAAGCGGACTGCGGTCCCGAGGATAACAAGGAGAACTTGTCCACGTCGGCCACCAGCACAGCTGCCGTTGGTCTAGATATTCAGTTGGCCATCAAGGAGGATGATGACGAGGAGAAACCGCTTGCAGTTATCGCTGACGAACAAAAGCCTGAGCTGCTGCTGACTAAGGACATGGAAGTGGATGAGAAACCAAATGGCAAACAGGAATCGGTCTGCGATGAGCATATTCAGCTGGTGCGGCAGGATCAGGAAAGTCATCATCAGCAAAACCTTCGTCAAGAACAGGAAATTCACTTGCAAAACCTGGGCCTGCTCACGCACCAGGCCGCTGAACAGCGACGCAAGTGTCTGCTTGAGGCACAGGCCCGCCAGGCGCAATTTCAGCTCCAGCAACATCACCACCATCAGCACAAGCGACAAGGAGCGCGCGGTGGAGGCAGTGCCACTCATGTGGAATCCAGCGGTACTCTAAAGACAGTCATCAAGCTGAACAGGAGCAGCAATGGAGGAGTGGGCGGTAGTGGCGGCCTGCCTACTGGTACAGTTATCCATGGGGGCAGCGGCTCCTCCTCTGCTTCTTCCACGTCCTCCTCTTCGGTGGGCAGTGCCACACGTAAATCAAGCGGTACTTTGGGCTCAGGAGCGGCAGCAGGTGCTGGCGTTCGCCGGCAGTCGCTTAAGATGACATTCCAGAAGGGTCGGGCTCGTGGTCACGGTGCTGCGGATCGATCCGCCGATCAGTATGGCGTCCACGCCGAGGACTCCTATTACACCATTCAGAACGAGGTAAGGCAGTGAGCTACGGTTGTCCTTCTAAGCAGATGACTAACATTAGTACTTTCCTCCCCATCTTCTCATTCCAGAACGAAGGTGCGAAAAAGTTTGTTGTAACTACTGGTAATCCCGGCCGCAAGACTAATAACCGTTTCAGCTCGACTAACAACCACCACTCCACGGTAGCCTTGCACGGTAGCAACTCTACGGTCCAGTACTGTGCGTATAGATCAGATCTGTCATTCGAAATCGTGTGCTCCAATTAGCCTAGCTGGCTGTTTTCCCTTTACAAAATCAAACCGAACAATTGGAGCCGAGCTATAATTTCTTTTTATAAATGCCCTAAACTCCCCAGAGGGTTCACTGTTTTCCAGACATTGCAGCGCACTGTTAATAGTTTATTTCTTTAAAACTTTTGTTTTATCACAAATTTATGAACTTTAAATGTCTTTTAAAAATGCAGGATGCATTACCACGTTTACTTTGAAGACTACATTTTCGGAAATATGGTTCGGTTTGATATTCCCCTCACATTTCGTACACATTCATTTCAATTTCTCCGTCCGGGAGTTATCACCTTCTCCATTTTCTGAACCTGTACATATGGCACCGTCACTTTCATCTTCATAAACCATTACCAAACCCAACGAACAGAAACAGACATAAACGCACTGACGGAAGAAGAGCTAGCGTAATTATCGAAGAGTATATTGCCCTAACTAGCCATATTCTTCTATAGATTCGTCACACTCGGAAAGTCAGGGACAGGCGGACCACGGCTTCTACCAGATGGTCAAAAAGGACGAAAAGGAGAAGATCCTTATTCCGGAAAAGGCCTCCTCGTTTAAGTTTCATCCAGGGAGGCTGTGCGAAGACCAGTGCTACTACTGCAGCGGAAAGTTTGGACTCTATGACACCCCCTGCCATGTTGGACAAATAAAGTCCGTGGAGCGCCAGCAGAAGATCTTAGCCAGTGAGTACACTGCCAGAAAGATCAAATACTTCAATTTAGATTTTCTGCAATTAGCTCAACCTCTTGATATTGCTGATCTTTTTCTCTACCTCCTCTGATGTTCGCTAGTTTCCTTATCATTTGCAGACGAGGAGAAGCTGACTGTGGATAACTGCTTGTGCGACGCATGTTTTCGACACGTGGATCGCCGTGCAAATGCGCCATCCTACAAGAAGCGCCTTTCCGCTCCAGGTCACTTGGAAATCGGGGCTGCGGCGGCATCTTCACTAGATAAACACTTTGCTGGCGACAGCGGCGTCATTCCGGAAGCGGGTGGCGAAGCTAGTTCCACGGCAGCCGCGGCCGTGCAGCAACGTTCCTGTGCCGTGACGGATTGTGTCGAGGCGGCAGGACACTCGCTGCGACGCAAGTGCATCCGCAAGAGCGTGAAGAAGTTTCAGCTTAGCCTGGAGATACCCGCGGGTTCGTCGATAGTGTGGCTGTGTGAGGCGCATTACAACACGGTCATCCAATTTTCCGGCTGCGTCCTTTGCAAGCGTAGATTGGGAAAGAACCATATGTACAACATAACCACGGTGTGTATACTGTTAGTACTCATAATCCGATTATTGTTAATAATTGTTTGAACATTTTTCAGCAGGACACAGATCGACTGGAAAAGGCGCTGTCCGAGATGGGCATCCCAGTTCAGCTTGGCATGGGTACTGCAGTCTGCAAGCTGTGCCGCTATTTTGCCAACCTATTGATGAAGCCACCGGACAGCACCAAGTCCCAAAAGGCGGAGTTTGTGAAGAACTACAGAAAGAGGTGGGTTTGAGTCTATCACCGAGTTGGTTGCCTATCACATTGTTAGCGCTTGATGTTATAGCAAAGAAATGATTAAACTGTTACTCATGAATATTATTCTGCGTTTTTACCCAATAGGCTCCTCAAAGTGCATAATCTGCAGGATGGCAGTCATGAGGTGTCCGAAGCGGATGAAGAAGAGGCACCTAATGCAACGGAGGCGGAAAGGGCAACCGCAGGCGGACAGGAAGACGCCGAGATGCCCATGGTAACGGACTATGATGGACCTACCGATTCCAATTCAAGTACTTCTTCGACAGCAGCCCTGTCCATCAGCAAACAAATGTCTAAGCTGCAGGCCATCCTGCAGCAAAATGTGGGAGCGGATGTGGCAGAAGCAGCGGGAACAGGAGCCGTTGCAGCAAGTCCCGTAGGAAGCGGATCTGGGGCAGATATCTCAAACGTATTGCGCGGGAATCCGAACATTTCCATGCGAGAACTTTTCCACGGTGAGGAAGAACTGGGTGTGCAGTTCAAGGTGCCGTTCGGATGCAGCAGCAGCCAGCGCACGCCGGAGGGTTGGACACGGGTGCAGACTTTCCTACAGTACGATGAGCCGACGCGCCGCCTCTGGGAGGAGTTGCAAAAGCCGTACGGCAACCAAAGCTCCTTTCTGCGCCACTTGATTCTACTGGAAAAGTACTACCGAAACGGAGATCTCGTCCTGGCACCGCACGCCTCCTCCAATGCCACGGTTTACACTGAGACTGTTCGCCAGCGGCTAAATTCTTTTGATCACGGTCACTGCGGTGGATTGAGCAGCACTGGCAGCCCTTCTTTTTCGGGTTCCGGCAAGCGCCATGGGATTCCTCAACCCACGGGTGCCAGTGTGCTGGCCACCGCCCTCACAACACCCTTGACAAGCCATTCATCCTCCTCTGCATCCGTTTCATCCGATCAGCATGCATCGGTTGATCCTGTTATTCCGCTGGTAGAGCTCAATGATGACGATGAAGGCGAAGATGGAGCAGGGGGAGCGGGCGAAAGGGAGTCGATAAATAGGCATGAGGAAACAATCTTGGAAAGCCTCAGCACAGCCTCGGTGGACAAGCTGACCAAGCAGCTCAGTTCGAATGCGGTGACGATTATCGCCCGTCCCAAAGATAAATCGCACCTCTCGTGCAACAGTGGATCCTCCACGTCGATTTCCAGCTCCTCGTCCGCTGTTTCCTCGCCGGAGGAAGTGGCCGTCACTAAGGTTACGGCAATCGCACCAGTGCAGTCCAAGGATGCACCGCCCCTGGCGCCCGCAAGTGGCAGTGTCAGCAACAGTCGCAGTATCCTTAAAACCAATCTCCTGGGTATGAACAAGGCCGTGGAAATTGTGCCGTTAACGACTGCCTCCCACGCATCCACCTCTACATCCACAGCTGCATCTAAAAACTTCCTTACATCTATCGCCTCACTCGCTAACAAGCCAACTGAATGCCATATACCTGAGAAACAGCAAAAGATTCTGGACGTGGCCAATAAGCTGCTCGGTAGCCAGGGCGAACCGGTACCAACCACCTTGCTTGGCCTGCAGTCAAAGCTTAAGCCTCCAATGCATCAGCAGCAGACGGGAGGATCAGGAGCGGGAACTAGTGGCCCCCAGAAGCCTAATGTGGCGCAATTGCTTAGCTCTCCACCGGAGCTAATCAGCTTGCATCGACGGCGGACGAGCGGATCAGCAGCGGCGTCGAGCAGCTTACTCGGCAACCTTTCGGGCAAGAGGCTTCAACTTCCACGATCTGGAGCAGGGCCTTCAGCTGGAGCGGGAACGGGAACGGGCGCTGGAACAGCAGGAAGCCGCAGTGCGGGTGGACCACCACCGCCCAATGTGGTCATACTGCCGGACACCTTAACCGCCCAGGAGCGACACGAGAGCAAGAGCTGGAAGCCAACGCTGATACCGCTGGAGGATCAGCACAAGGTGCCGAACAAGTCACATGCTCTTTATCAGACCGCCGACGGTCGAAGGTTGCCCGCCCTGGTGCAAGTGCAGTCTGGTGGCAAGCCATACCTCATCTCTATCTTCGACTACAACCGCATGTGCATCTTGCGCAGGGAAAAGCTGCTGCGGGACCAGATGCTCAAAAGTAACGCCAAGCAAAAGCCGCAGAACCAGCAACAGCAGCAGGGCCAAACGCACCAGCAGCAGCAGAACTCCGCTGCATCGGCAGCTGCCTTCTCCAACATGGTTAAACAACACACGGCGCGACAGCAGCTCCAGCAGCTGCAACAGAAGCAACAGCAACAGCAGCAGCAACATTATGCCACTTTACAACTAGGTGGTGCAGCTGGAACGGGTGTGCGACTTGCCCGTCTGACGCAAAAACCGATGCCACCACTGACTAATCCGCAGATTGGCAGTCAGGCACCCAACTTCCAGCCGTTGCTGCCCAGTACGCTGGACAACAGCAACAGCTCCTGGCTGTGGAAAAACTTTCCTGATCCCAATCAGTATCTGCTAAATGGAAATGGAGGGGGTGCCGGGAGCTCCTCCAGCAAGTTGCCACATCTCACGGCCAAACCAGCCACGGCAACCAGTAGTTGCGGAGCGGCCAACAAATCCGCAGGAAGCCTATTTACCCTCAAGCAGCAGCAGCACCAGCAGAAGCTCATCGACAACGCTATCATGTCAAAGATACCCAAAAGTTTGACAGTAATACCGCAGCAGATGGGTGGAAATGCCGGTGGCGATATGGGGGGCAGCAGCTCCTCCGGCAAGGACTGATGACGGCGAAGGAGGGCGCCATGGCCATTAGCCGTAGCGTCGGTGGCCACCCGGCGGAGTAGCAGGATCAACAAGCAGACGTCGAGCAGCTTAAGTGGCGAGCTTCACAGCAAGAGGTGACCAGCGGCGGCTCCATGGATATCACAAACTCCACAATTCCATGGCTGCAGTAGAATAAGTGATAAACTAAAAAACAGTGGACGGACAGACAAGAAACAGATGAGCAACCAAGATAATTCTAAGATTACATAACGTTGTTTGTGTATAAACGAGATACGGTTACGAATACGATTACACTATAAGTACGCACTAGTTAGGCCCTCTAGCCGATACGACAGATGCATGATGGCACAGATGAAGTTGCCGATGCGAATGCGATTTAGGATACGGATATGGATAGTTAGGGATACCAATGCACCTTACTCTAATCTATGCTACTCTATAATTGTAGACTTAAACTTTATTTTTTTAATTAGATTTACGGGCATATAAACTTGCGATTCGTGTATTATAGATACCAAAATTGCTACAGCTAAACGGTTTATAGATTTATAAGCGACTCCGGAACACACACACACATCAACTGCTACACCAAAACACTCACTCACACACACAAACTACTTTAAGAAATGCAGCACAAAACAAGAAATTGTGGCCAAGATCATAATCCAACCTTATGCTGCTGCTGAACTGAAAGGGAAGCCAGGATCCCGGAGCCCCAGTTTTGCATGAGTCCCAATCATCCCAGGAGCTTTTTCACCACACACACACACACACACACACTATGCACACGTAGCACATAACAATCCAATCCTGCGCATTAAACGTTTTGTTTGATGCAACCCCCCTAATTTATAAACATTTTGTATTTCCATTTATACATCCAATCCACAAATTACTCCTCCAAGCCCAACCTCACTCACAGACAGATCAAGATAATTATATGGACCTAACGTTAACTCCTAAACTGTAAATATTTTAATGGAATGAACAGATAAATACAGAAACTACAAAATACAAACTAAAACGCTAGTTCAACCCTGCAAATCTTAATTAAAAGCTTAAAAAAACGATTGTGAGCCATAAGCAATCAAATTGATCGATGTTCTCGGTGCCTCTGGTGGCCTAAGTTCCATTCCAAGGAAATCTAAAATCGTAGCTGCCTAAAGCAAAGCAAGATCGTTGGTAGTGAAGTGAAATTAATTTGCTTATTTTTAATGACAAATTGAAAAGCTTTCTCGACAAATATACCAATATAACATATACTTAACACCCAGCATAGACATGTTCATATATATATATATATATATATATATATATATACAAATATGGATTTATATACACACTATATACTATATAGATATTTTAGAGAGATGAGAGGTACAATGTAAATTAGTTTGTTAAGCATAGATATATTTATACACACATATGAGAATTCAATTGTTGTTGTTAAACATTGAAAATGTATTTATAAACCAGGAGTTGATTGATACCATGCAAACCAAACAAGAAACGTGAACGGAAACAAACTTTGGCAAGCCGAAGTTTATATACCCTTGCAGATATTTGAAAATTAGCTTTCGATCCTCGCTCGGTCATAAGCAAATATATGTAAACCCTGAAAATATACATACATAAATACGATGGTGATCTATTGGTTCATGATGATACCTCTTAGCACTTAAAAGTTACTTCAGATGTACAGTCTTCCCCGTTAGACACAACTCTATGATCTCCCATTAACCGTTATAAACGACCACCTATCTTTAAAAGCAGTTGCTGTGGGCTTAATACATAGTCCGATTTCAACAAATTGACACCATTGCTTTGAACATAGCAGCCTCTCACACATTGCATACGAATGGAAAATCAGTGGAATGATTATTTATTGAATTCATAATGCCTCTGCAGGGGTATATAAAAATTGGAATGCTTAGTCCTACATCGTTTCATTGTTGCGGATGCGAGTCGGAGCTGAAAGAGGAATAGAGCAGTTCGCAGGACTGTCTTCTGATGACCATGATAAACTTAGATTGCCTTGATCGAACCTGGTTTTGTAAAGCCGCATGGAAAATCGTGTGCCTGTGGGTGAATGTAGTGTGTTTGTGCTGTGTTTATGTAGTACTTTGTAGCTGATAGATCATTCGATCCAAACACATCGTAAAATTACAACTTATTTATGCAATTATTTTTAAAGGAATACCAAGAATCAAAATTTCAACGAATCATGAATAAAAAAACCCATGTCCAGCTCAGAACTTTGATGCTTTTATTTATTCCTTTTAAAGTTGTGGTCAAAAAACTGATTATTTTATGTCGGAAAATCGGGAAAACGACATTTGGCAAATATTGGATATTTTCGATGGGAATTTTTATCATAACTTTCATAAAAATTTTCAAAAAGATGAAAGAATGACAGTTTTGAGCAGCTAATTATCAACGCTGACCATCCCTATCACTTTTTGACGGATTTGGGAAAATAAATTTTTTTTGTGATTTTTTACCTTTTTTTGTAAGGGGTAACATCAACAAAATTTGCCAAAAATGGACAAAAAATTTAATTCCTATTTTTGGATACAGTTGGATTGGAAATTTAAATACGAGCTCAACGAGGTATGACATTCCATATTCAGACAATTATTTTTGAAGTTGTGGGCAAAAAACGGATTATTTTATGTCGGAAAATCGGAAAAACGACTTTTGGCAAATATTGGCTATTTTCGATGGGAATTCTGATCATAACTTCCATAAAAATTTTCAAAAAGATGAAAGAATGACAGTTTTGAGCAGCTAATTATCAACGCTGACCATCCCTATCACTTTTTGACGGATTTGGGAAAATACATTTTTTTGTGATTTTTTACCTATTTTTGTAAGGGGTAACATCAACAAAAATATGCCAAAAATAGCCAAAAAATTGAATTCCTATTTTTGGATACAGATCGATTGGAAATTTAAATACGAGCTCAACGAGGTATGACATTCCATATTCAAACAATTATTTTTGAAGTTGTGGCAAAACAACGGATTATCTTATGTCGAAAAATCGGGATTACGACTTCTGGCAAATATCCGATATTTTCGATGGATATTTTTTATCATAACTTTCATAAAAATGATCAGACAGATGAAAGAATAACAGTTTTGAGCTGCTAATTACCAACGCTAACCATCCCTATAACTTTTTGACGGATTTGGGAAAATAATTTTTTTTGTGATTTTTTACCTATTTTTGTAAGGGGTAACATCAACAAAATTTGCCAAAAATGGCCAAAAAATTTAATTCCTATTTTTGGATACAGTTGGATTGGAAATTTAAATACGAGCTCAACGAGGTATGACATTCCATATTCAGACAATTATTTTTAAAGTTGTGGTCAAAAAACTGATTATTTTATGTCGGAAAAACGACATTTGGCATATTTTCGATGGGAATTTGTATCATAACTTCCATAAAAATTATCAAAAAGATTAAAGAATGACAGTTTTGAGCAGCTAATTACCAACGTTGACCATCCCTATCACTCTTTGACGGATTTGGGAAATTTTTCTGTGATTTTTTGCCTTTTTTTGTAAGGGAAAAAAAACATCAGCAAAATTTGCAAAAAATGGCCAAAAAATGTAATTCCTATTTTGGATACAGTCCGATTGGAAATTTAAATACGAGCTCAATGAAGCTCAAAAAATCGCTTTATTCATCTTTCGTTATGGGAGTTGTGTATATGAATTTGTAGTTCTAGTTCTGATAGCGTTCTTGAATAAATGTCTACAGTACTTGTGTGAAAATAGAACAGTATTCTTCCTTTCATCTAGTGGTCTCTCTCGCTCTATTTCTTTCGCGCTATCGCCATCTCTGTCTGTCTCGTGGAGCCTCAAGGTTCCGCTCAAGCGAGCGGAAGTAGTCTCTAGTTTTCCACTTTCGTCTGTCCCTCTCGGATCGCCCCTATCCTATCGATTTCGTTGGAGGAAAGTAATTTCTCTTAGATTTCGATTTGTTTTTGGTTTTTATGTATGGATTTTGTTTTTATTAACATAAATTTCAAAAAATAAGTTTTTTAGCGTTTTTTTTTAATGTTTTGGACTTGGTTTTTGTAATTAGATTTAAATATTCGATATGCAATTTATGGGTTGCCTTGCTGTTTTACAAATGTTTTCAATGTATGTGTGTTTCATTTCATAATATGTTTCTCATTTGTTTTTTGTGTGTTTTGTATGTGTGGGTCGCATACATCGGCTCGAGACGGAAATTAATAAATATATTCATCCTCACATGATGCTCTGAAGTTCTTCTGCAGCTACCGTTACGAGTGTAGGTATAATAAATCTATGTTTATTAATATTATTATTATTAAAGTTTATCATTATTATATGATCTGGCTCTGCTCGGGTTCGCCGACGCAGTCCTTCGGATGCGGGTGGTGTGCCTTGCGCTCTTACAAGTCGGTCTCGCCGTAGAGAGCTGTGCTGAAGGACATGTAGTCCAGGGCGCCGGGCACTCCGTTGGGTCCCTTGTAGGGCGGCATGCGCTGGATGCAGTACTCGGCCTGGTCTGGCGGCAACTCGCGGCGCAGTTCGTCGGGCAAAATGTATGGCTAAAAGAATGAAACGGGGACACGTTATTCCAGAGTAGCCAGAGAATCGAATGTGCGTTAACCCACCTTGTCGGCTGCCAGGATTCGGAAGGAGTCGATGACTTGTTCGGCAGTGTCGGTATCGGTGCTCTCGCGGGTCATGAAGTCGAGGAAGGCGTCGAAGTGCACGTAGCCAGTGTTGTTGGGATCGACGACGGCGAGGATGCGCTGGAAGTCCAAATCACCCTGGCGATCCTTGCCAATCGAGTAGCCCAGCGAGACCAGGCACGACTTGAACTCCTCGGGCGACAGGCGGCCGGTACGGTTCTTGTCGAAGTGGTTGAAGCTGCTACGGAATTCGTTCAGCTGCTCCTGGCTAATGCCCTTGGAGTCGCGGGTGAGAATCTGGTTCTCCACCTCGTTGATGTTGCGGTTGATAGATGTCAGCAGCTGCTCCCAGCCGACGCGCAGCGTTTCCATCGTATAGTTGGTGTATCGGTTCTCGAAGATCATCGATTCCTGCACCGCTTGGTGGATCTTCTCCAGCTCCTCAATGTTCGGCTTGTAGGCGTAGACGGCCTGCTCGTACTCCTTGAGCCGGTGCAGTTGATCCTCCAGCGATCCCTGCAGTCCCATGCCGATGGCCGTGACCGCATCCATTTGCCGCTCGATCCAGGGGCCGACAATGTTTGCCTTCTCGGCAAACTGACGGCGGAGCATCTCGTTGTTCTGCTGCTTGCGCAGCTCGTTGGCCAAGGTCTGGTCGCGTTGGGGCACCAGCTGGCGGACGTCGCTCCACTTGCGCGTCATGTCGTTCGCGGTCAGGGTGGTGTAGGGGTTCTCCAGACCGCCGGGGATCTGGTGCTGCTTCACAATCGACTCCACTTCGCGGACCAGGTTGACGATCAGGTTGAACTCCTTGTCGGCCTCGCCCAAAGTCGCCTTGAACTGGTCGTGCGCCTGGATCAGGCCTTGGATTTCCTCCATGGTGTGCACAATAAACATGTCCACCAGATCCTCGCGTGTACCATCCAGCCAGTTGTTGAACGGCGCCGCACGCTTCGCGAACTCCAAATGCAAGATGTCGATCTTCTCCAGGATTCGCTCGGCCTCGTCTAAGGCGGTGCGCCTGCGCTGGGTAAGAGCACCCAAGCGATCCCACTGGTCGCAGATGCGCTGGCACCTGGCGTTCACCGACACACAGTCATGGTACTCCAGAGTGCTGTGGATTAAAGCTCGGATTAGTGGGGATCTTTGTTCGAACGGACTGGGGAAATGAGATAACAGATGGCATGGTGAGCGCTGCACGAGTGGATGCGATAGTGGGGTAACAGTATTGCCATTTAAACGATTCCCTCCCCGTTAAGAGAAAAGTCTGATATTGGCACAATTGGCGAACAAAAGATTGGCTTAAAAGAAGCCCGGGAGGAAAATCCGAATGCAAATTGTCTGGCAAACTCTGGTGTCTGGATGGATGACTGATCGGGAATGTGGAATTCTACCTAACCTCACGCTGGACGCAGATCAGAGTCACCATTGGACATCGGTGGCAGCAGGCGGGGATAAATCGAGATTAGACAATGGGCTCGCCCGGGGCAGACACTTACTTAAGTTCCTGGGCGATGGCGGCAATCTGCTCCACGCGATCCTGGTGGGCGGCCAGGTCAGACTCAAAGGCTTCGTGCTTCTTCTTCAGGGCCTTCAGCTCGTTGAGCTTGCACTGGCGGAAGTCCTGCGACTGCAGCATCTCCTCCTTGCCACGCGTCCAGTCCTCGTGGGCATCGGCCTGTGAATGGCATTCAAATAATAAGTTGGGAATACAAGGTCTTCGGGACAGCTGGGTAAGAAGCATACCTTGTGCTTGAATTTCTGGGCCAGATGTTCGAGGCGCTCCAGGCGCATGGTCTCGGCCAGCAGCCATTCCTCAAAGGCCTTCTCGGCCAGCTCCAGGCCCTTCCACGAGTTGGAGATGTCGGACACGGTCTTGCCCTCGGTGGGCAGGTAGGCGGGCCGGTTGGACAGGCGCAGCTTGGTCTGCAGCGTGTTGAAGTTCGTCTCCAGCTTGGCCTTCTGCTCCACACGTGGTGGCTTGTGCTTGCGACGGTAGGTGCGGTACTCCTCCAGCTTCTTCTGCACACCTGCCAGCGAGTTGTCGGCCTGGCGCGAGTTCAGCCAGGGCATGGTGCGACGGATCCACTCCAGCAGCTGTGCGAGTGTATAGGGAGGGATAGTGGGGTCAATGGAGGGCTCGATTTGTTGCTCGATTGACTACTTACATCACTGGCCAGACGCTCGTACTCCTCCATGAGGCGTTCGTTCTCCTGGTTGACCTTGAGCACCTTGCAGATCCGGTTGGCAGCGGTTTCCGCCTGTTGTTGCACACGGTTTCATGGTTGGGTGGGTGGAAAAGTGGGTTGCACATTAGAAGGCTTTAATCGTTTCGCTCTGAGTGTGCGTGTATGTGTGGGCACGGAACCAACTCAGATTTGGAAAAGCGAAAACAAGACGAACAGGAAACAGGAACAGGAACACTGGGCGCCGCAACTCAGCTCAACTCAGCTCAACTCCGCTCCATGCCAGTGATCCGACTCGTACTGAACTGAACTGAACTGAACTGAACTGAACTGAACTGAACTGAACTGGGTGCCACATATAAAGAAAACGTTGCAGAAAATAATAGAAACGAATCAAGCAACAATGAACTGGGCAACAACTGGGAAAGCACAGGCCATGGACTCCATTGCAGTCAAGCGGTTTTGGGATTAGGATGCTCGGGCGATCTGCAGTTATCATAGCGAGTTGTGTTTTCTAGTGTGTTCTCTTTGCCGCAAGATTTTTAATTTGAATCCAAAAAGGCTTTAAAGAATGGGGATGGATTTCAAAATGGGTAATGGACAACGCATTTATTGATGGCGCCGAGTTGCAAGAGGATAGCTTAAAGCCATTGAAGGGTGCTCATCGTCTGATTCGGATGATAGCAAGGTCCCTGCTCGGGCGCCATCAACAGATGGATACGGATGTAGTGTCCTGCTTGTGTGTTTTCTTGTGGGTGGTGGGAGGGATGACTACAGGGATACTGGATACTGGAAACTGGATTCGTATAACAGACCTTTTGGGCGCCACTGAAGCAGTGATAGTACGAGGACACATACGTCATCACCGCCCGCTCATCGGGCAAAGCTGTATTCTGGAGATCTGTGATCGTGTGCGTGTTGTTTGGTTTTATATTTCAGGAGGGTTGTTGTTGTAGTAGTTGTTGTTGTTGTGGCGATAGCAGTTGCAGATTGGTTAATGGCAGTTGTTGGTTTTTTGATGAGCGGAGCGAGCGGAGCGCGCACACAGAGATAATAAAAAGAGAGAAAGAGAAAGAAAGCAACAAACATACAAATGATGGTTAGTCCCAACAGGCATCAAACACTATCAATATTCTTTGAACTTATGCTAAGTTAGTGGACAACTCAAAGCATGCCGGCGCACCGGACTCGAACACTCGACCCCGGGATCGTTTTGGGTTGACTTCAATCTGTCAGGGCTCGAGGTTCGATTCCAAGCGCCAAATCGAACACTTATATATATGCATATGGAAAGCCAGATGCGTTGCAGGTTATTGACAGCATGCATTGGGCACCGTACGGAGAGGGGAACCTTCCAATTGAACTGAGTTAACCAGGAGCTAAGTTCATGGGTGCCAGAAGATCGAACTGCTTGGGTTCGATTGAACAAAGAGTGCTCTCTTGTCCTGCTGCATTGCAGGATAACCAAAAGGTTTCTCCCTCTGAAGGTTGAATTCCTCGAGCTCCGATTTGTTCACGAGCGCAGTTAGTAGGGAGGCTGTTAGCATCGGGCAGTTGCGGATGCAGATACGGATGCAGATGCGGATACGGATGCGGGAACGAACAATATGCACGAGGCCAACGCAAATCGAATCAAGACAAATCCAGGCGATTCAAATTTGATATAGGAGAGGGCGCGATTTCGTGGCGATCCCCGCTGCCCCTCTGGTTGCTGTGACTCTGATTTTGGCTTGACCTTGGCTCGACCTTGGCCCCGTACCGCTGCGACCTTGGCAGTGGGGCGCGTTTGAGCGGCATGGGGAAGAAAGGAAGCGACAGCAGCAGCAGCAGCAGCGGCGGCAACATCGCAAAATCGCATAAAATATACTTAGAACGAGGAAGGCATATGCTCATATATAGATATATATGTATATAGATATGCCGCGCTAGAGCTAGATATTTAAGTGTATCGTGGTGAAGTTTAGTCACATTGTAATTATTCGGGACGTAGGTGTATTGTCTTGTGGGTTCGGGTACATGCGTCACATTTCCAACCTGTTGGGCTCCCTGGAAGGCGTGGTAGTAGCAGGAGACGTACGTCATGATGGCACGTTCATCCGGTTTCGGAGTGTTGATCAAATCTGTCGTTGTTCACCAATCGCAATGATTAGAGCCAGAACCCAACTGATAGCTTACGTCTACTAGTAGTCAATCCAGCGATAAAGCCCCCACCCGCTATTATCGCCAGTAATAGGAGGAGTATTTAATGGTACAATTTTGTATCTAACTTATGGGGAAATCAGTTATCAAGTTAACCAGTTCCATTTTGGTTCTTAGGTTTGCATTTTTGTTACTCTATGTTGTACTCTTCCCATTACTTAACAATACTCATCCTAGATAATCAGTCCCAAAACACTCACCATCTGGATCCAACATGCGGGGAATATCCAGGTACTTCTCGGCCACGTCGAAGGCAGTATTAAGATTCTCCAGAGGATTGTCTTTGGACAGCTTGGCGTAGTCGATTAGATCTGGACGATGGCGATGGATAAGGGCGCAGAAGGCTAGACCATCCTACAAGGGGAAAATAGGGAAATTTATGCAATGATTATTATGGATTGACAATCGCAGCACAAATCTGCAACTCACCTTGAACGACAGATGGAAGTTCTGTACGTTGACGTTCTTGTAGGGAGCCGTCTTGCGCTGGCACCACAGCAGCAGACCCTCCTTGGCGGTCATCTCCTCCACGGAGATGTCCTGAATGGCGAAGCGCAGGATGATCGTCCAGATCATACCCAGAGTCATCTTCAGGTTGCCATCGACGATCTCCTCGGCGCCAATGGAGACCAGGTGGACGCCCTTGGAGGCGATGAAGTCGAGAGCCTTGTTCACGTTGGCGATCTTGTGGAAGCGCATCTTGCCGCGATCGGGCTTGGGCAGCGTCTCGCCGGAGATCACCTCCAGCAGCAGCATCAGCTTGAGGCCGTTGCGGAAGTCCTCCTCGATGTTGTCGATGGCTGTACCGGCCTTGCGCAGATGGCTGTTGCACCAGGCGGTAAATGTCTGCGGACGTGATGTTGAGCATTAATTATTTCACAGAAATGTATTCATTGGATGGAGATTAATGGGAAGAACTATCACCATGAGGCTGAATCCCTACTTAAAAGCACTCTTTAAACAATATCTTCGGTATCTTCGGCTGCACGAAAACACTTTTTGTTAGGGAAAAAGAAAAAGGAATGTATTTGGGAGCGGCCAAGTCCTGAACCCTTGGCATAGTCTCCCCAGCACAACAAGAAACCAGAATTCGTTGGAAGATTTCGGGTTCGAGATTCGGGACAGCTGATCGCTGATGGCTGCCAGCTGTTTCGGAGTAGCTGTTCCCGTTTTTTCGCCACCCATTTAGGGCAGTCCCAGCCAAAAGATCTTTGTTGTTGGCTCTTGGCTTGGAGCTGTACCCCCGCCGACCTCCCATTCGCCCGCGACCCAGTGTTGTTGCAACTGCGGCTGACAGTTGCAGTTATTTTTCACCGAATGGGGACAGACAGACGACGATGGAGCAGCCAGAACAAAGAGAAAACAAGAAAAGACAGCAGGCGCACATGTTTATGTACGAGTATGTACACATATAAACCAGTTCTTTTTGCACACACTTCATTATTTCGGGGGGCAAAACCCCCAAAACCCACAAACCCCCAAAGTCCCCACCCACCCAATCGACCTATGGGTTCGGTCTTGGTTTTGTACGTTTACAACTCGGAATTGTTATGGAGATTTGGCCGGAGGAGGGTGCTCGCACGCCCACTTTATAGCCCAGTGAGTGTGCGAGATCATCCTGAAATCGGTTCCCATTCACAAGCCCGGGAACCATGGGCTTTGTTTGGCTGGAAAATCCGGAACAATCGAAAAGAAAGGGAGAAGGAAGGGCAGCTGGTTGGCCTAATCGATTGACAAATGGGCTGCGCTTATGGCTGTATATGCATCACAATGGATCACCGCTAGAACGGGATCAGAACGGGGAGCAGTCGAGGAGCATGGAGCATGGAGCATGGGCTCCACTTTATTAGCCATTAGCTTACAGTTAGGTGCGTGAGACAAGAGAGCGGCGGCGGTCCGAGGAGAGAGACCACGACCCGATCTAAGCTGAGAACGAGAAATGCAACTGTTAATGCAAATGCCCCTCTCACGTAACGATCACAACGGTTGCTGGGGACAGATTACACATTACCCACTCAAACAATAACAACTTGAACTAGGCCAGCCGGAGAGCGCCAAAACAAGTCGCTCCGGCTTACCGCTAGGCTCCATCATCCAGCCACTCGAGCCTCTGTCGGCGTTGACGTCGGCGCCGATCCACTATGCGGCATCCAGTGTTGCCAGCACAGCCCGGCTTTTCCCGTTAAACATACATAGCTCGTTTCTCGCCTTAAAGTTCATATGCATTGCCTAGCGTCAAGGAAAAAGGGCCTTTTTAAAACATTCCCCTTGTGCTAATTTTGATATTCATCGTTATTCTCCCACGTGAGTCATCTAGTCAAAAGAACGCATTTCAATTGCAACCAACAGGGTTTTTGGCTCTTCTAAACCACAGTTGCCTTGCAGTTGCCCAAACGCCTTTTTGTTTCTCGAAAAACCTGGCAACACTGACGGCGCAGCTTCTCTCTTCGCCCGATCTGTTGCATTCCGCTAACCCGTTTTCGCCTCTGATCAATTACCGTTACCGGGCAGCGACGGTGGCGGCGGCAGCGTCGACAGCAGCAGAGGGCAGTGGCCTGCGTCTGCGCCTGCGCGGATTGCAGCGCAACGCTAGAGTCGCCTGGACCAGCCTGCTGCCTCCAGCGAGTTCCATCTTCCAGATCTACGATGGAGGAGCAGTCTTTTCGGCCGGTCAAGGCGCACGCGTCGGAATCAAGAACAGCTAAAAGCGAGATGAGCACAGGCGGCCGACGGCCGACGTCCGTCCGCCTTCTTTTCCCCAGTTCAGATTGAAAAAAGCTTTTCGGGGAAAGCTCTAGCAGCTCTGACAGCAGCGGCGGCGGCGGCAGCGCAACGCACTCGCTCTTGCACACCCATTTTTAGCCGAGTGTAATTTGAGCGGCCCCATAGCATGGACTCATTCGCACTTGGCCAGGCCAGGCCGGGCCGGGCCAGGCCAGCGGATGGAGGAGGAGGGTGGCAACCTGGCAACCCTGGCCGCTGATCCTCCTCATTCATTCACACCTTTCGCATACATGAGTCACGCGGCGGAGCCTCACCACCCACTTCCACTTCCACACCCACACCTACACCAACGCCCGTCCCCTCTTTACACCTTTTGTTGCGTTGTTGCGATCAATGTAAACACAAAACAGAAACAATTTCGGTGGCTGTTTTCTTTCTTTTTTCGGCTCTCATTATTCAGCAGCTGACGAATTCCGTTCGGTAATTTACGGTTACGAAATACGTGTATCGGGCGAGAGAAAGAGAGAGAGTGGGAGAGTGGAAGAGATAGATGCCACGCATACATGTCCGATCATGTCAAGCTCAAGTCATTCGGCGACCGCCAAAAATCTTCATATTTTCGCTTTATTTTGCATTTATTTTTCTACTTTTTTCGATCTTTGTTAATTATTTTCAGTTTCGTTAGTGCGCCAGCGATTTGTCATTGCATTTTCGCCATGCTTTATGAGTGTGGGTGGCTGATGAATTTCGGACACGGATACAGATACTGATACAGATACAGATCTGTATCTTTGGGTATATTCTGAATCCGAATCGCGTGGAAATGTGGTGCATAGGAATGCTGTCTATTTATAATTGTCAATTTCATTTCACCACCTAGGCGTCGTGTCAAAAACACAGCCTTGCACTAAATTTTGGCTGGCAATTTATAGAATTATGTATATAAATACTATATCTCTAGGTTAGAGCTCTTAAATATGAAATGAGATGGGATGGGTTTGGTTTTGGGTGTGTGGGGAAAAGTGTGTGCTCCACAACATCCTCGATACACTTGCATTTAGGCTATCTAACGTTCCTTTCGGCCTTTTGGCTCTTATCGCTTACGACCTTCAGCTCTGCTAGATGTCCCCCCACCTCAATTGCCGCCTACTTATGGAATGGATCGGTGTTTCCAGCTTTATCTAAACAGTGGCAATTAGTTGCTGTTCTTCTTCTGACGCCATTGGTATAACGGTATGCTTCCGCTGGCACACAACGACAAGCAACAAACAAACAAACATGCAAACAATCTGAACGACAAAAAAAAGAAGATGAAAGGGATGCCAGGGGTAATTGATTGGAAACTGTTTGGAAAATAGATTGATAACCTTCGGGTTTCATTGGGTGCTCTTTGGTGATGTTCAGAACGCTGCACCCAGACAACAACGGTTGGAAGAATCGAATGAGATTTTCGATTTTCATAATCATCAGAGATCGAAGGCTTTTGGATATAGGTTCTATATGTACTACATATATATGTATGTATAGTTCCTGTACAGCAACAAACTATTTTCGTGCTATCTTCAAACATTGCTAGAACAACAAGAGCCATGAAAATCAAGAAAGAAATATTCTATTTTTAAATCGGGCCGCTGAGCTTTTTTGTAGTTGTTGTTATAGCTTTTTAGTGTTAGTCCCATGTTGTTGTTCTTGTTGTGCTTCTTGTGCTGTTGGCTCGGTAAAATATTGAAACATAATCGAAAAATATAGAACCCAGACAGACCAAAGAGCGTATATCCAATACATGTGAACTGCGACTACAGTAGACATTCGAAAATTTGCGAGATGTTCTTTTTCCCGAATGATTCTGGGTCTGTTCAAAATACATCGCAAGGTTAACCCTTCGCTTTCACTTTTTGGTTGGTAGAATATGGAATGTTGCATATTTGGACATAGGTTCTGACCTCAGTGTGATCGAGCTTGGTAAGTACTAAGGATGTTTGGTTTTCTTGGAAAACTGTTGCCTTTAATGATTTTCCTCTTAGTTATAACCCTATCCGAGTAGATTCCTTCTTAATGACATTTAGTGAAAACTTTCTTGAGGTTCTAAGTCATTAAATCATTTAATGCTGAGGCTAGTGATTAAATGGCAGAGCAAGACTTCGGGGCAATGAACAATCACATCCAGAAGGCTTTAGGGACGAGAATATAGAACTGAAGCGCACTCACCTTCTTCTGTTGCTTCTCCCACGCAGGATCGAGCAGGCCCTCGCGCTCCCACTCTTCCTCCTGCTCCATGTAGCCATCTCCATACTCCATGGAGAGTCCGTTCTCCATCATCATCTTGTGGCGCTGTCAGAAGTCCCGCTCGCTCGGTATATATCTATATCGTTCCCTGTCCCGCTGCACACTCTCTCGCTCGCTCTCGCTGCTGCTGGTGGTGCTGTTGTTGTTGGTGATCCAGTTGCTGCTGCTGCCGAAGGAAAACGGAGGTTGTAGGTGGGAGGTTGCAAGTTGTTGGCCTATTGGCCTATTGGCCTGGCCGGTTGTCCGGTTGTTCTTGTTGCCGCGGGTCACTTAACGGCCAAGTCGTTCGACTTGGGTTGTATCTGGTTCGATTCTCGGATTCGGATTCCGTTTCTGATTTGGATTCTGATTCTGGACAGTCTCTATATAACTATGCTTGCCTGTGCGGTGCGTATGTGTGTGACAGAGTGCTGACTGACGGACTGATTGATTGATTGATTGATTGATTGATCGAGCGATGGCGCAAAGCTTGCCCCAATCCTGCAAGCTCTCTTGAGGAGAGGCAACAACAGCGACAACCTGCCACAACAGGTGGTTGCCGCTCTACCCGCTAGCCCGCTGGCACCCAAGGCCGACAATACCAATACCCGCTTTCCTTAACCGATTCCCGCTAATATACCGAGTTGAAACAAAAAATTGAAACATGAATTTGGACTGGCAAAATAGTTGTATAACAAGTTAATTTGCTGCTTAATTATTTTTGCGTTTGCTTTGCTCGTTCTGTTGTGTGTTTTCCGCGCTCGTTCCGTTTCGTATCGTATCGTATCGGTTAAAAATAGTATGTTTTGAAAAAGTTTTATTTTCGGCGTCAACGTCAACGCAGCGAAGGGAAGTGGGCGGGCCGGGGCCGGGGGCGGAGAAGGAGAAGGACGGTACGGGATTGGTACATATTTTAAATAATTTTGAGAAATAGCGCGAATTCGGATCGGAAATCGGAACTGATCCGGTAAATATAGATCGATATACTCGCGGTTCGTTCCTTTTTTTGTGTCTAGTTTTTTATTGGTAGCACTTTGACTCTCCACATAGATCATATATACGCACATATTGTTCGGATTGTATATATATATAAAAATATATGTGGTTTGGCATATATAACCATCGCACGCACACACACACACACACCTCACACACATGCACAGTTTTCGTTACTTATATTTTGCTTTGCTCGTTTTTTTTTTAATATTTCGTTTTTATATTTATTTTTCAACAAGTACAAAAAAAGAACCCAAAAAAAAAAGAAAATAGAGTATACGAAAGCAAGTGAGTCGGTTAGCCAGATATATATACACATATATATATCTATATCTACTCGTGTGTGTGTAGTCGAACCAAACAAAAACAAAAACAACAAAACAATCTGTGTGGACAGCAATTGGAGCAATATCTACGTGTGTCGCTTGCGAAGAGAAAGACCCGCTCGCGTTGATAGCCAACTCAAAACTGATGTCGCGCCAGCCAGCTGCCAACTCTGAATACCGTCGCAGTCGTCGTCGCAGTCGCAGTCACCGCCGCTGCCGTCGGCGCACCACCAACCTCCCCCCATCCGCCCCACCTGCCCCACATCGCGCATCGCCCACCGCACCACAGCCACAGCCACAGCCAAAGCCGTCCAAGAGGAAGAAGAAAAGTCTGCCGTGCAGCGGGAGCATCGGATCGAATCGGATCGGTTTGGATCGCTTGCCATTGCCGAAGACCCCAACATCCGAGCATCCAAGCATCCGAGCATCCAAGCATCCAAGCATCCGAGCATCCGAGCATCCAAGCATCCGAACATGCGAACATCCGACTCACGAAGAGTGGAGCAGCAAGAGTGCCGGAGTGGGAGTGGGTGGCAGAAGAAAGTATGAATTCATGCTGGCCGAAGCGTACGAACCGTGGGACCCTTTAGTTGGGGATGATGAAGTGCGGGCATGCTGCTTTCGCAGGTTTTCACTCGTTTCGTTTGCTAGTCAATTATAGCTGAATCAACAAATGCGATGAATGAATATTACTGTTGAATGTCCTGAACATGAGTTTGTCGAACGATCAGCTAGTTGGATCCCTTAGTCGTGGGTGTGTGTCAAGTAGACACACTGTCTTCTAAAAGCAATGGGTATCGCAGGTACCGAACGCCTTCCTTCTGCTTTTTGCTCATTTGCAGCTGCGGTGCTCCGGTGCGGGCTGCTCCCCTTGTTTTTGGTGCGGCTGTGCCAAAGAGAGCTGTCGGACCCCCATTAGTGAAATTGGTAGGAAAATGCAGTTGCAGGCGACACGAAGTAACGATAAAGAAAGTAAGAGAGCGCCGAAAGGGGGACACCCTGTATGGCGTATGCTGTGCGCGATATGCGAAGACGACAACAACTTGTTGGCCCCACGTCAGCGCGTCTGACTCCCCACCTCCCTGGTTTTCTCCTCGTCTGTCAGCAAGTCTCCGCGGTTCAGACAGCATCCACCCAAAGCCCCCCCCTCGTGGGTCTTCGGAAAACGCCCCCGCATAACTACGAAAATAGCAAATTGTTAATTTCGCTTCGAAAACTCTTTTCCAATACACACACGAAAATCGCAAATCGTCGAAGGAGATGGAAATAAGGGGTGAGGGGTATTTGGGGGGGGGGGGGGGGGGGGGGCGAACACATGATTTTATTGGCATGCTTTCATGGTTTTTCCGTGCGAAACATTTCATTTTTCATTCCACATTTCACATTTCACATTTTTTAACACGCTGCTACATAGGACTATTCGTGTGGGCTTCTGGCTTCTTCTTGTCGGTGGAGAGAGAGGAAATTTATGAAATTTATTAAATATGCTCGCCACACACAAAATCAAGGATAGCTATTAGCTAGACCAATAAAAACCACCCACAATAAGTGTGGAAACACTGCCATCTCTTTCTAGCATTCCACCCCTCTCTTTCACTCTGTGTGGAAGCTTTCAAAAGCTCTAGATCTTTTGGGTGAATGGAGAATCTGAGAATACGCCAGGATCTCCGCCAACAGCAGAGTATTGTATCCGTCGATTTGTCCCAATTTTAAGATATTCCTTTGGGGTGAGATATAGCGATAAGATACAACGATATAGACAGAGATAGAGCCTCAATCTGCCTATTTATAGAACATAATGTGCGTCGTCAGCGGCGAGTTTTGTTCTTTTTTCAAAAACAATATCTATTCTTAGTCGCTGCTTGTGCGTTAATACCATATTTTTGTAAATACATACTAACATACATTCGCGCTGAGACATAAATTTTATAAAAATTGACCAAATGCCATCTGAGAGGCCGCAACATCAAGGTGAGGAGTGGGGTCCATAAGGCGGCCCCCAAACCAAAAATCAATGGGTACGGGACGCAAACAAGGCGTACAGTGCGGTTCGAAAGCGAAAAGCGATCCTTTCGGAATCACGATAGAATGGCGTTCTAGATACTGAACATTTTACACATCACAAGAGTATTCAACGAAGTATTACCAGCTATGTTTTAACATCATTTTACACAGGGCGATATTTATTCTAGCTTAAAAACTTAAAACCTTTGAATGGTGGTAAAATAAAATAAATTGCTTTAAAAATGCGCAGTAGTTTTAAAATAGAATGGCTATTTTTGAAGAGTTTCCGCAGTGAACTTTATTTATTACCTCCACCTAATTATATCACAGATATATTAAAAAAAAAAAAAGAAAACCATTCAAGAGCTGGCAGAATAAGCCAGTTAACTATTAATACAAAAATTGTTTTGCCAAACATACATATGTTTAATAGTATAAAACTGAACATTTTAAAATATCCGCGCATATAGCCTTTTCATGGATGTACATATATACATTTCCGTCTTCGGGACAGTCACTAGATTTCTTCTTACAGTCCCGAAACGCACCGCTTATATACGCATATAAAGGCATATATTCGTGTGGACAATTGGATTAATCGCAGATCCGCAGATAAAACGACCATATATCTTGTTATGCAGTTTATATTTTATACATAGATATATTTTGTTGGTTTTCGTCTGTGATTTCTGTATCTCGCATCTAATTGATAACGTTTGGGTACATTTATGTTAAAAAGTAATTACAATTGATTTAGAACGGGGCCAGCACCGCAGATATGCGCCTGCTGACATATATATTTATGCTGAATTTGTATGTTTACATACGTCTGTAGATCATAACTATGCATTAATTTTAACCTTTATTATAATAAATTTACTCATTTAGCTTTAGTTTAACTTTTACTCTGCTTGTGTGCTTCTGTACTTTCGTGTTTTGTGTTCTTTTCAAGTTTTGGATTTTGTTTGTTTTTCGTTTACTGGGACATAAACGTCGAGGAGGCTAATCTTCATCTTAAGGAAAACATTTTCTATATCAATAATAATAATATTAGGTAATAAAAAAAAATAAACAATTACATACACATTTTGCGTAATATTAGGGGGACTTTTGTGGGATCTAAGGGGATAGAGAGGAGAAATGCAAACAAACGCAATCACAATGAAACATTCTTCGGGTGGAGAACGGGGGCGACTTTAGAGTCTGAACCCTACTCCAGTTTCATCGCCAGGCCGGGCGGCGGCGGCGCCTCCAGCTGTTCGAGAAAAAGCTCCTCCAGCGGCCGGTCGCTGGTGATGCGGAAGAGGAACAGGTGATCCTGGCACTTCAGGCTGATCGATCGCAGAGCGGGCAGACGCAGCAGCAGTTGCGCGAAGCGTCCATCGTCGCCCGGATGTTCCAGGCGGCAGTGCTCGTCCAGGCAGGCGTATACCTTCTCGCGGCACATCTCAATCTCCGCCCGGTTCTTGATCCCGCGAATGTCCGGGTTGTACAGTATGATGGCCTTCAAGCAGGACAGCTCGCGTCGGTCCAGATTCAGTCGCTTCATCTTCACGCTCAGCTCCGATAGGATGCGGTCGAAGATGGCTGAAACACCGGCCTTGATCGCACTGTTGCGATGGTACGAGAAGCTCTGGTTGAGGAACAGCTGCTGCGGCTGCAGGCCCGGTGATCGTCGCTCAAAGGAACCGTCGTGGCCTAGTCCACCGCCCCCGCCGCCTCCAGCACCGCCGTCATCCAGCGAAACGATGCTGCACCAGGCTACGTTCGCAATGAGCAGCTCGATCCAAGCGGCTTTTAGCAAAATCACCTGGTCGTCCAGCGGCACCTGGGCAAAGTGCGGCATCATGCGCGCGTATTCGACCATCTGGAAGAGCTGTTTGTTGACCACTTGGCACAGGGCCGACACGGCACCCTTGTAGTCCGGCTGAACTGTGGAATAGGGACCGACGCGCAGGAACGTCAGTGCCCGATCGCCGCACTGGGTCTCCGCCCGCTGCTCGGCCTCTATGATGCGCTCGATCGAGAAATCCCTGGACACGCTGTTGGTCATGAAGTCATCGGAACCGTTGCCACTGCCCATTCCGCCAGAGACGCCGCCTCCTCCTCCACCACCCGAGCTGGATCCGCCTACCGAGCCTGGACCGCTACTGCCGCCACCGCTGGCGCTCAGCCTACCCGCCGCATTACGGGCGCCGCGTTGACGCTCCTCCTGGACCGCCTCGCGTTTCATGCCGCAGGTTAGGCACTTCTGGTAGCGGCAGTATTGACAACGGTTCCTCTGCCGCTTGTCGATGATGCAGTTGCGGTTCTCCCTGCAAGCATATGTGAGATCCTTGCGCACTGTGCGCTTAAAGAAGCCCTTGCAGCCCTCACAGCTATACACGCCGTAGTGTTTGCCGCTGGCCCGATCTCCGCAGATGGAGCAGAGGTGTTTACTGCCGCTCAGCGGATGGTTAGGCGGATACTGCTGTTGGACAGCAGAGGCAGCTCCTGCTGCCGAATTGGGCGCCTGCGCCATTTGGGCGTCTCCGGCGCTGTTGTTGTTGGAGCTGGCGGAGTTGGAGCCGGGCAGCACGTGGACCATGGACATGGCCTGCATGAAGGGCACGGGACTCTCGGCCTTGGGCGAAAAGCTGCTGTTGTTGCTGTCGTTCAGCTGCGAGATGTCCGGTTTGACCTCCTCCTTGATGTGGCTCAGCCGAAAGCTGGCGTCCTGGTCGCAGTTGTCCATCCTGGGCTTGTGATGTTGTGCTGGGTATATTGGGGGAACTGGGGGCAGCGCCTCCTCCGCCTACCGGTTTCTTCTTGCTCGTTCTCTTCGTGTGTATGTGGTGTGTCTTGCCTCGCTTTCGCCTCTCTGTTGGGGTTTCACTTTGCCAACGCCACCGTGTCCGTCCGTCCGATTTTTCGTCCGTTGGGCGAAGTGGAGCAGGTTGCAGTTTCGTTGTTGGTGGGGTCGTTGCTGCATTTACATAATCTTGAGCCGATGGAGCCGCGCACTTTATTCGCTCGCCGCCAAACAATTGCGCTTTTTACCAACAAACAAAGAATGCCAGACTTTCTGACTAATGAATAAATACCTTTTTTCGCGTCGACATTTTTTCTCAACAAAGACAATCTCACCACAACGACGCAACTCACCATCGTAGAGATGGACTGTGACACAGGTTGCGTCGTCACGATTCACAGTCACGACTGCTGGACACTGAATAAAATTACCTACGGCGATAGTATTACCTTAGGTCAAGCCTAATCGGATGTTTGCATAAATAAGTACCTATAAAATGCCATACTAATCTTTTTAAGTAAGACACGACATAAGCACATATATCGTTCTTTCAATTTAAGCACTGATTCGTGACTGGCCGCCCTCGCATCTCTAACTCACCACAAAGTGGACAGGGCTGTTCCCCTACTCACACAAACCATTTTTAGTGGGCGTAAATGACCCAATTGCATCGCAGTTGCCACAGAAATTTGTGTTTTTACTTTGGTAACCAACGCGCAATCAATCAATCAATTAGTTCAGTCGAAAACCAGAAAGCGGGAGTAGCGACAGCCCTGGCGGCGCCATTGCAAAACTCACCGCACCCACGGCGCATGCAACCCTGCGTCAGTCTGGCTCCCCTCCTCACCGCCTTGCCACCCACACAGTGCAAAAATAATTTAGCGCCGCTGCAATTATGCAGAATAGAAATGCAAAATGGAGACGTGAATGTGCGCCAATTTCACCGCTGCCGGCGGCAACCTCGGCCCCAAATCGCAATCGCCGTCGCCGAGAATCGAGCGGTTATGCTACTGAACCGCGAATCCAAGACCAAACGGAACCAGAATTGGGCGAAATGCAAATGGAAGTGCAACTTACTTGCAGCCAGTGGCTTTCGATGCGCCGCAAGGTGAAGCTTGTTTATTTACTTTTTACTTGACTATCAGTTATCCGTGCTCGCGAGCACACACACACACACACAGGCACGTCACTGACTCGGCAACACCACACGACGCTGATTTAATTTGTTGCAATCTCTATTGTAATTGTAGTAATTGAGTCCATCCCATCATCACAAAGAGACGCGACGCGGTAATTGGCATTCGCAAGAAGAAGCATTTCGCGAAACAACAGCTGACAGCGTGGTGAGAAAGCGATTACGGGGGGCGGCGAACTGGTTTGGCTGTGGTAAGTATGCCGTCGCGGTGAGTTATCGTGGTTCGGTGAAAAACAATAGCACATTATAGCCTGTTTCCACGTCACTTGATGCTCCGAAATTCTCATAGTTAGTTCGCTATAGATATATATTTTTATACGATAGTTAAGAAACAACGATTAACGGTCTGCCCAAAATTTCCATGCCGAGTTAGAGCAGAGGTGCAATTTGGAATTTAAATAGTTGTAGATATGTTTAACATTATCAATGGTTATATCAAATGGTTAGAAACCATCCCATCAAGAAAGTTAGTGCTTACAACAGCGTATATTTTTGTATATTTATTTAATTATTGGTATACAAAATCAACTAAAATGCGATATTTAAAATAATTCGACTTTTCTGATATCTCGATTCGGGTATTTCGTATTTTTTTTTATTGGGGATTCTTATCTTGTTCTAATGTTCTTGTTAATCTTTTTTTTTGCTAAGCCTTTTAAGTTTCGCATGTCCGTTTCCCAATAACATCAGACTCGGTTTCGAGTGGGTAATCCAGCTTACGGCGGCGCTTTCGTTTGTTTGTTTACGGCTTTTAATCAACATCCGAATCCGGCTCTTCATGCAGATTGTCGGGTTTAGAATTGCGGACAGCAAGGGCCCCGATCCGCTGGTTAAGATATTCGATCTCTTCTTGGTACAAACCCGTCTCGTAAAGCAGATTCTCGTACTCCCTCATAATTCCCATATAATCGCTGCTGCTGAAGCTGCTGCTGTTGTTGCTGCTGCTGCTGTGCCCACTGCTGTTGTTGCTGCTGCTGCTGCGACTGCAGGCGCTCTGACCTTGGGGCAGATTATGGCCGCCCCCACTGCCCCTCTGTGCGGATGCACTTACCGGAGACTCCTCAAAGTCCAGATAAAGCTGAAAATACTCGGCATCCTGGGAGCGGCAGATGGGGCAAGTTCTTGACCTGCAAAACGTTTGAACTCGGCGATAAGATTTCACGGCACTTTGATTTGAGGCACTTCCACTGATTTAAATCACTTTTCTATGCAGTAGCTGGAATGCTCTCTTTGTGTCTGTGGCTCATCACATTCAGTTTCACTTACTGCTTCCTCCAGCGGTCCAGGCACTCCTCGTGGAACGCGTGTCCACAGCTGCCGGCGTTTATGTTGTCCGAGGTGCGAAACCGATCCGAACAGATCGTGCAGATTACTTTGTTATGGCTCATTCCGCTCCGATTTATACCTATGTAGCTCGATTCGATCCGATCAGTTTCGATCTCCCTGTGCCGTATTGCTGCTCGGCCGGTGACAGCGGACTGAATGAATGCAACTCGCTGAATAAAGCGTTTCGCTGATAACCATTCAGGAAGCCACAGTACACTCCACTCAGTCCTCCCCTCGTCGGCACTCGTCGGCCCTCTCGAGCTCTCCCGTGCACTCCCCCTGCGCCCTGCTGACTCCAGAGCCAGCCCACCTTAATAAACCGCCCCACAAAAGTGGGAATATGAGCCGCTAAATGGGGACAACGATGGCCTACGCCCAGTTAAAAACATGTGAGATAAAGCTCTATTACGAGATTCGAACATTTAAAGAGCCGACAGTCCAGAAACCTAAAGTTCATTAAATCTATTAACTTGGCGAACTTTCAGGTTCGCAGTTTATATGGGCAGCGAGAGAATTGATAAGGTCATTCTAAAATATGATTTCCCCGGTATTTCTTTGTTTCAAAAACATTATTATGATGACGGCTTAAGCAACTATCAACTTCAAACATCATTAATAAGTTCAAGTGCTTTTGTATTTATGTAAACAATTATGTTTATATTGTATTTGCTTCTGTGGTCTTTCGAATGGTCGTGGTGGGACTAACAATAGGCCTACGTTGGAATGGAATGTTTGTGTTGACAGTAGTGAAAAACAATTAAAGGAATGTCATGGGTTCCAAGTAGAATTACACTCGTATAGAGCCACGATCTGGTGTCTTTAACGGGAAAGTTAGCATATAAGGTAGAAAGAAAAGGGGTTAATACTAAGCGTGAGCGACCATAAATATCTACAAACTAAAACTATTACTATGTGGTGTAACATGTGTAAGGATTTTGGGAGGTTAATTGAAAATCCATGCTTAGGCTTATGCGATAAAGGGCGGAATAAGAATATTAGGGCGAAAAGTAATAGGTCAATCTAAAAATGTTTGACTATAATCAAACTATTTTAGAGGTCAGTATAGCTAGAACCGAATGCTGGGTAAAGCATACAATTTGATTTACGATATAAAAATTATGTTTAGTGTACAATCAACTTTGAAATGAGGAATACAACGGAATCTAAAATTAATTTATGGCACAATTCTTAGAATAAACTAATTTGTATAGAACAATTGCTTACGATATTGAACTACAACGCCACCTATGGTTGGAGTTGCTTGACCAACTGCTTCTGTTTTCAATGTAAGGGGAAGAATTTACGATATTCGCCACCCGTTTACGATATCCCGTTCTACGATTCCTGGAAAATTTGTGTTTATAACGAAAGTAGCACAAGGACTACAAGTTTTTTGTTTTGATTTTGGAATTAAAGCATTTCGTTAGTCTTTTGGGAATTTCATCTTAGCCGTCAGCTTGGAGCCGGATATGGAGACGGTTGCGGATGTGTTGGCCGGACCTGAGTCACTTTCCGGTGCTCCGGCATTTGTATTACGTTCCATGTAGTATTGGTTTCTCTTCGGGCTGTCGACATTCATGTAGATGTGAGGCTTTGGTGTCGTCGCCTTTTGTGCACTGCTCCCCGTTGCCACTGATCCGCCGCTTGTTGTTGTTGTTGTTGTTCTTGATTCCGTGGAGAGCGGATGCATTTGTGATGAGGGCGGGGGAGGAGCCGGCGTTGTCGGCGCCGAGGTCGCCGGAGGCGTGGGCGGCGTGGGCGGCAGCTCCTCTTCCTCCAGTATTATGTCGTCCCCCACCATTGTTATGCGACGGATCGAGGCGGAGCCGCTCCCCAGTGAGCCAACTCCGGGCCGGTAAATGGAGCTGCTGCTGATCCCGATCCCCAAGCCGCTGCTGGGGCTGGAAGTGCTGCTGTTGAAGCCGCTGTTGGTGTAGGAGTGATTGTTCTTCTTGAGCGGCAGTCGCAGGCTGAGGCTGCTGTTGCTGTTGCTGTTGCTTCCGTTGGGCGTCGCCATGAGGACCGAGGGAGGCGGAGGCGTAACGGTCGGCGGCGGGAGATTCGATTTGCTGATTAGGTCCGGTCCCCGCGACAGCATCTCCAAGGCTTGGGTTTGTTGGATTTTCTGTGGCACCTGCACCACCGCAGCTGTTGGCGTTCCCATTGGTGTCCCTGCTCCCGGGGCCGCTCCCGTTCCCCCCGTTCCCCCCGACATCTGGGAGACGATTGTGCGGCTGTGGTTGTTGCTCAACCCGGTATCTTTCCATTTCTCTGAAACGAAGAATGACCGTGACTTAGTGCACGTAGTTCAGTGGGCTGGACCAAGCTGGCACGTACCTGCTGCACTGCTAGCGCCATTGGGCTTCCCGAAGGGCAGCAGAAGACGGGCGGGCTGGCAGAACACCACCGTCTTGTAGGCCTTGCGATACTGCTTGTTCATGATGACATAGATGATCGGATTAATGCAAGCCGACAGGTACAGCAGGATGTAGCTGCAGATGTGCAGGCTGGGGTGCTCCACATTCTTGTCGGCCACCTTAACAATTGTGATGGGCAAGTAGCAGACGACGAAGGATAAGAAGATGGCCAGCACCATCTTTGTGATGCGCCACTCGTTCCGCTTGGCGCGCACTTCGCGCTGATCCTTGACTCGGGTGGGCTGCTGTTTGCCGCTGGGCGCTGTCTCCGGCACATCGACGGAGAAGCTACTGCTGCTGTCCGAGGAAACGCGATTGCTTGGCTGGCACTCCGCGCCGGAGGGCAGGGCTCCTGATCCCGTAGTGGCCAGCGGACGCAAGTTGTTAGGTATGGAGTTCTGTTTGGTGGCATGGCGCTTCAAGCGCTGCTCCGACTTGTGGACCACCCAGAAGATCTTGGCATAGCAGGCGATGATTACCAGGCAAGGGATGACGAAGGCGGTGATAAACAGCGTCGTCTTGCTGCTGTGCCCATGGTCGTCGGTCATGATGGAGCAGGTTTGCAAGCGCGAATCGTAGCCAAAGCGACCCCACTCCCCTAGAAGCGTTGGGAGCTGCATGCCGTAGGAGAACAGCCAGCAGGCGGCGATCATCACCGCAATCCAGTGGCGTTTATAGATCCTGGCATAAAGTCCGTGGTGCGTGATCATCACATACCGATTGATCGTGATCATTGCGATGCACAACAGGGATACCCCTATGTTTCCGTATTGGATAAAGGGAATGAGGCGACACAGCACCTGGCCGTGTCGCCAGGTTCCTTGGACGAACCGCAGACCCTGGAAAGGCAGCACCAGGGCGCAGAAGAGCAGGTCGGCAATACAGAGGCTAGATGGAGGGATAGAGGATAGAGGTTAGGTCTTCTCCGAGGAAAGCTAGGACAACTCACCTGATGATAAAGGCAGCCGCCACGTTGCGCACCTTGGGACATTTCAACAGGGCCACCACGGTCAACAGATTGCCGCATATGCCGACAATCATTATGAGAAAGGTCATGACCGCGGCAAAGGTCAAAAGCGACTGCGAGAAACTGCAAATAAATACGGAACATTTGTCCTTGTATTACAAATCCAAATGCATTTGCCGGCGATCAGGATGCTTTCTCTGAAGTAATCCTTCTAGTCTGAGGTCTCTCGACCTCTTGCGTCAAATGGCCCTGTGGCTATCGCCATATCAGACTGGCTTCCGCTCGCCACTTACAAGAATCACCCGTCTTTGTCAGTGGACCGGCCTAGTGCGATCAGCACTTGTGCAATGGAGCGCGTAATATTAACGATCTCTTATCAGAGCACTTCCAGCCGGGGGCTATAATTACCCAGTGCTGATAGCTACATCTCACTTGGCACCCACTTGGCATACTGTCAACACATCCACACCCCAACTTACCCGGTCGCGTCCGTCGGGGGAGCCATAGTTGTCAACGCCTCCAGGGGGGGATAGCCGCCCTCCAGGCTAATAGTTGTCTCATCACTCATGCTTAAGCTGAAAAAGGAGAAAGTGGATTTTTTAGAACTATAGAAAAATAAGAATAGATCTTGGCTTAGTGCTCTCTGCTCATGAGACAATCATGTTCATACAATCGAGTAAATTTGATGGACTACGCAACCAAGTGTTTCACCTACATACGTGTGTGACTCATATTATTTTCCTGGAACGAAGCACATCTATAAAATAAATTACTTGTTTATGAACAGACGTTTTCATTTTGTTTGAGATACACTTTTCTCTCCAGTGCGACGCACTTGAATATTATCATCCTTTCAAACAAAATCACGATCATCAAGGTTATCAGTGGGCTAGCGAATGTTTACATTGTTTGGGAATAAGTTCCGGTTTCCCAATAGCGGTAAGCCAGTCACTAATGATGGATGGATGATTGAATAGGATTGCCGTATCCCGTGTTCCTGTGCACTTTGTGCTCATGTGTATATTCTTTGGGGTGTTATTGTGTGACCCAACACGCAATGTGGATTAGAAAATTCTTGAATCTACATAAATGATGAATTGCTTATTTGAATTGTTGTGCGACAGCAACAAAAGCGCGAGCTTTTTACATCAAGACTACTACAACATAAGATTAGGGACCCCATCACACAATCCTTACAAGTTTCTTATAAACCTACTCCGGATTAATTGGGGGATAAAAACAAGGAGCTCATCACGGAACTACGAGCCTATTGGAGGACTAAGCGAGTCGCGTTGATGCTGGTTCCAATAATGATTCACCTTTTTTGATGCAAAAGAATTTCGCGAGCTCGCAACCTCCTAAGATCTGCACTCCTTCTGGTCTCTGACTAATTTGCCTCGCCCCTGACCACCACGTTCTCCGCTACCGATCTCCGAAAACTGAACACCGATCGCCACCGCCGACAATTGCCAACTGGCAGTGGCTGTGGCACATGGGAGGGTCAGGCTCTGGTAAGATATAAAAAACACTTGCGCTCACTGCACTTCGCGCCGACGCAACGCTCGTAGGCATAGCCGTAACCCGGCAGCCGGAGTCCGAGGCCCGATCCCCGTAACCCGGCATGGGGAGTGGCACCCCTTTTGCTGTCTCGGGACTATGATAAATTAGTGTCAATTAAATAATTTAAAGAGGTCACACTCGCCTCTGTTTCGGTCTCAGTTGCCCGGCGGCAGTAGTTTCAGTGGTGGCTACTGCCTCAGCGGTTTGCACCACTCGGGGTGCAAAGATCAGCGTCGAACCTTAATTAATTGAGTGGCTGTTTGGCGGAGACGGGCGTCTCCGGGTGTCTCCGGGCGCCTCTAATGCGTGATCTGATGAGATGGTAGTTCTCTGTTCCCGCTCGAGTGGCCGCTAATCGAGACAAGTGTTATGTTCTTGTACCATTCTCTGCACTGGGCGGAAATGTCGACGCTTCGATTCCACAAGGGTTTCTCTGGAACGCAGTCAGGTGTGATTGCCTAATATGAAGTATGGGATTCTTTAACGCAACTCCGTTGTGCAGCGCATTTGTTTTCTGTGCACATGCCGTGCCCTCTGCTGCCCTAGTTCTCTCTTAACCCCGACCAGGTCATGGCCGCCACTTAGCACGGTCCAACGGGGCGTATACGCAATGTGTCTGGCTCGCTTACATACGAATTTAGAATATTTCCTTATCTTATCAAAAGAGCACTTACCTAGCTGAATTTGGTTTTGCTATTTGGCAATCCTCGACGATTCTAACGATCGCACGGCTCTCGCTCTCTCCTTTCTCTTCCTTTCTCCGTGCCCTTCCTCCTAGTCTGCTCTCCTTTCCCTTCTAAGCGTGTGCTCCACCACACTGGTGGGCACGTTATCAGTGGTCAGGAGGGGAGAATGAGCAGCGGCGGGAGTTGGGAACTGGGTGTGGGGTCGTCGAAATCGCTTGTTTATTTGCTTTCTGCTCACGTAATGGAAACTAGTGCGACTGCGATCTGATCTCCTCTGCTCTGCTCTGCTCTGCTCCCCAGTCGTGCTCCTCTCTCCACTCTCCAACTCCAATCTCCACTCCGATCTCCTCTCCAACGGCAACTCCTCCGCCTCTTGCTCTTCTTCGCTCAGGTTGAGCGAGGTGAAAGAGTGAGTGAGTAATGCTGCGAGCAATGTAAACAGTTTACGGCACTCGGCATTCGCAGGGGGTTATTCATGAATCGCTGTGTTTTTTATTGTTGTTCTGGGGACGCCACTGGAGCATTGGCTGTTGTTTTGGTTATTGCTTGCTGCTGTCGGTGATTCAAAAGTCGCCCCAGCTTTCATGACTAATGCTTTTGACTCGCGAGATCAGGTAGAGAATAAGAGGGTTACAGGTTGCCCTAACTCAGCACTTGACATAATCACAAAAACAAAAAGTCGAATTAGTAGATTCTAACAAAAAGGCACTCGTTCGCGATTGAATCGTTCGAGGTATCGAATATCACTTATGTCGCTTGAAATCGTAGTTACTTTCCGTTACGCGAACTGCGTGAACAATCCGTAGTGGTTGAATGTAACGGACAAATTGCGTAGCGCCTGCGTTCGGTTCGGAATTCGATCGGATGGGATCGGATCGTCTATAACAGCCGGATCGAGTGCAGTTCGTTGAGTGCGGGCAGCGTAGAGCGAGTCGCGATATTGCCAGTTGACAATTGGCAGTCCCCGCTCGCTCTTACTCTCACTCTCAACCAGTGTCTAACTGTCTCTCCGCTGCCGGCCAGTGGTGTAGGGCACTGATTTTGAGGGGGGTCTACTATGGTGGGAACTCCGTTCGTTGGCTGCTCGCTTCGAACATGTAAGTTGCGCTGCTTAAGTTCACTTTAGTTGGACAGGCCGCCCCCCCTTCGTCGCGCCCCTAGGCCGACCCCCATGACTTGGCGCTCTCTTCTGCTCTCTTGCTCGCTCGCACTGCCGCACTCTCGCCCGCCGGCCGGAGACAGCGCCAGAGACAGACAGGGACGGACAGAGAGGCGGCGATCGGCTATCGGACATCTGGCGATCGAGGGGCGGCTGTGGGTGGACGCTCAATGGTGGCCGATTAGATTCATATCGCAGATACGCCGCTTCTTCTCGTGCCTCGCCGAAGCAAATGTGCAACAGCAGCGACGGCAGCGACGGCAGCAGCGTAGCAGCCACTACTGATAAGGCTTCATGTGTCTGCATTCTAATGTTTACACAATTGGACATTCGACATCACATCGATCGAGGCGATCCAACATGGCTGCACTGGGAGAAACGGTCTACCACATGCGAGGGCACTGGTGGCTGGGGGCTGGGACTTCTTCCCGACGCGACGCATGCCACACGATTAGAAACTGTGACCTGGCAATCAATGTTTTCTGTGCAGATATCGAACTGAAGACGTAGGGATTTGTGCGCACTCGCATTGTTTGTTGTTTGCTGCGGATTGTGTGAAGAACACGATAGTTTATGGCTATCTAAACATGGGCCCGTGCGTGTGCGTATGCGTAAGCGTATGCGTTATACATAAGTACGTCGGAGAAGTTTACATTAGTCTGGATTCGAATCGGGATCGGGATCGGGCCGGGGAGGGTGGTGCGTCGATTGGCGTTCGAATCGTATTCACAATCATATCCAGAATGGTTGGGGAGGGGGTCTTAGTTTCCACTTAGTGCTCATTCCGCAAGCATTTCCACGTACAGTGGGGGGCGCACGAATAGGGTAAATTTCATTTCTTAGCAAAAACATGGGATTATACGTAAGATATACGTTACACGTTACAGTAGGCATGCTATCGCAATATTATGATGGGCCATGTGTTTGGTTATCACGGATTGCATTTCATCCAGTTCCTAGGATCTTTAATGTACACAGTTCTCGCAATTTAAGTGAATGCGATGTGGCGCTATATTTTTCCGCAAGAACTGAATGTTATTTTATTGGGTAGTCGGCTGCAATTCCCGGACTATTGGCCGGCATGAAAACAAACAACGTATTCGTACTCGTATTCGTGCCGCTGCCAAAGAGTTTTCCCCGAACCGCCTGTTTTCCTTTTCAAAAGGCAAACGATACTCAATTCGCCCCAACAGACGACCCGCACTTTGACCCGCGGAAAAGTGGTGAGGTGCCCTCGTCATATGTTTACATACATACTCGTATATAGGCTTGATTAATCAAGACTACATTCGATCTAATGCTGACGTCGTGTGATTCGTTTGACTCTTTATTCGAAACGGGTTATGGGGGCGTGGAAAACGCAGAGTCCTCAGTTATGATTCAGGGTCCGCCGCCCATGACTGAGTTTTCATTCTACTCACAGATTCGATCTATGAGTGCGATTTATTGGAATGAGTCTCGCATAAGTTGTGCTTTTTTCAGTTGCTAGTTCCTCGCTTCGAATGGATGCCGCCCATTTATTATCCAGAAAATTGCCAGAGGAAAGTATGCAACCACACACACACTCACTCACTCACACATGCACACGGCCCAAGAACCGAAAAGTTTTTCATTTCAAAAATGCCGGAGAGGTGAGGTGCGTACGGCCCGAATTCAGGGCTACGAATAGACTGTTCATCTGTGGAAGCTTTTTTATTATTTCCCAACATATTCTGGCACTCCGGATTCTCGAAGCATACTCATCGCTAAAGGTATCATTTTGAAAACGGAATGGGCTTGCTCCATTGGCAAACGGGACTACGTTACTTTCCTTGCAACGAATGACTGTATCTGATAAGCCATGAATTGTATTGGCAATTTATATATGACTTCTTACACCAGTCTGGAGGAAGTTCATATTACTCGTATGGCGATTAGCCAACGGCGAGATGTGGGTTCTGGCTTCCATGTCAGCACGCTCAAGTGGCTAGAAGCTGGAACCATTTTAGGCAGTGGTATCCCTGGTCTAGTATCTGGATCTTTGAAAACCGGCAACAACAGCAACATGACCCCGTCAGAGTATCGACGAAAGAGCGAAAGAGTGAGCATATCCGGGCGGAATGGGGCGGGAAGGGCGGTTAAGAAACAACACCGAATAGGAACAATGTAAACAAAGCGCCCATTCCACAGGCAAATTACCAAATTACCCGATGATGAAGTCAATTGTTGTATACAATAAAAATGTGTGTTGTTGCTGTTGCTGCTGCTGCTGCTCTGAGATTCTTTTGTTTTCCTTTTTGAAAGTTTTTCTAGTTCGCCTGCTGTTTTTTGGTTTTTTTCAATATTTTCTACGCTTGGCTGGCGGCGACTGCCTTCGGGCCCACTTTTTGGGTGGGAACCATGTCGGTGTATGGATGCGGAGAATTCAGTTTTAGTACAAATTCGGCGCAGGAACGAGCAACGCGTCTCTTGCCGACCACAAAGTGCCGCGTGATGTTCCCCCCAAAATCCGGACCAACTCCGCTTCCGATCTCGCTGGCGCTGCCTGTTTCGGATCGCATAGCGGACCAGGAGCGCCTGTTGCCGGTACCCCTCGCCGACAGCCTGGACCTCGACCTGGACGTGGACTTCAATCTGAATCTGAATGTAGACGGCAGGCGCCAGGTGCTCTTCGAGGGCTATTCGAACGAGCTGCTGACCATCGCCTGGGTAGCCTGCATAGTGTTCATCATCGTGGGTGTTCCCGGAAATTTACTGACCATAGTGGCCCTGTCGCGGGGTCGTCAGACCCGCAACTCCACGGCCATATTTATCATCAACTTGTCCTGCTCGGATCTGCTCTTCGGCTGCTTTAATCTGCCACTGGCCGCCTCCACTTTCAAGGAGCGGGCCTGGACCCATAGTGATCTGCTGTGCAGGCTGTTTCCGATGCTGCGGTATGGGTTGCTGGCGGTGTCACTACTCTCCGTGTCGCTGATCACCATCAACCGGTACATCATTATCGCCCATCCCAGGCAGTATCCAAGGTGAGGATGGGGCTGGCCATAACGACATTCACGTTATTCCTGCCTAAAACTTGAGGGGTATTCAGTGTTACTCCTAATGTC